TCCAGAATTCCCCAGCCAGCCATGCTGGCTGGGGAATTCTGGAAGTTGAAGTCCACATGCCTTAAAGTGGCCAAGGCTGAGAAACACTTCTCTGAACACATGGAAGAAGAAGGAAGAGCAGAAACTGAGAGGATTCCCGCAACACATTTATCCTCTCCTCATCCCCCCATTGTCTGAGTTGAGCCCGTTTTTAAAACAGGGATAAGCATTTGTAATGAGTCCTACAGTATTAACTGATTTTCATGACAATGATGGAAGCTTAATTTGTTTACTTCTTTATGTTTTTGGTCTTTTGTTACACATAAATGAATTCCCTATAATGTAAATTGGAATTTTTGACAAATGTTTCCCCTTCAGAAGGATGGTTTCAATGATAGCTCATCCAGAGAGAATTGGATTATAGCTTCTTAGCTTCTGGCACGGAACCTGCATAATGGCTCCCCCCACCTCCCAGTCTCTTCTTGGGTGGTGGCAATTAATTTTCTACCCCACAAAACATTGGCGAATGTCATTGCTTTCTTTATAATCTAAGAAATAAGTGTTTTAGGAAACTTTGCAACCGTGGAGTAAATTATTTACAAATTGTGTCATCAAATTGCTTGCGGGCAGTCTCTTCTCCAAATAAAAGGTGCACGACGAGAGTTTTTCTGTTGATGATTTTCCAGAGATGTTCATTGCTGTCTAAGGGACAGGATGCACGATTTTTATGTAATCCTGGGGTGAGCCCTAATGCAAAAAAAAAGATTAAAAAATGGAATTGCAAAACAAGCAATGCAGTGAGGTCATGAGGGGTGTGTGCTCAGACATCCCCTGAGTGATTCATGCTTATAGATAAAACCTTATAGATAAAACCAGTCTAGCACTGAAGATGTTACCTAGCCGGGTAATAATGAAACGTTTGCAAGAAAACAGCCAAGCTCAGAGAACTCCAGGGACTCCAGATAAAACCTTGCTTGAATTTATTTTCAACATAAAAAATGAAAGGCATTGATTCTGTGTAAATTCACCATCAACTTAACACAGACACTCTCTGGGTGTGCGTATTTTTATTTCCCAGTGAAGCATAACAAATTAACAATATGAAATATATTGATAGTGCGGGGGGAGTGCATTCCAGGGATTAAAATAAACTAAAAGTAAGGGATGGGGAGAAACTAAGGAAAAAGAAAAAAAAATGAAAAAAGGATCCAATGGTGTTAAAATAAAATTAAGGAAATCCTTAAACATACATCTATTCAATGTCAATCCATTAAATATAGACCATGTAGAAACGTATTGCTCCATCTTTTCATTTTTTGGCTACTGTGGAGGCAGCTTGGCCAATAAAGGAAAAAATGTGATACAAGCTCATTATGTAAACCCTGGCAGGAATAAAGAGTTTTGAGGAAATATTTTGAATAAACGTAATCTGACCGGATGAGTTGGCGTGACTACCTTAGTCTCCAAGTGGTCAAAGTTGGTTCTTACCTACAGATAAAGGAAGATGCCTATCCACATTGGAAGTGTAAGGAATCTTTTCAGAGAACAAATGTGTGCATGTCTATGATGTCACTTTGGACTCTTCATTGATTACATGAAAATTGCTTTCATGAATATGTATATTGGAAACATATATTCTGTTCCTGTTTATACACAAGTGCCTTTTTCCTTCCTGGAGAAGCATCAATGATCACCATTCTTTTCTTTCTTCTTTTTTTTTTTTAATGAAATAAAGATGCACCCATTAAATCTCTCCCTTTTGTGGAGATTGAGCTGGGTAGTTCCCCAATGCTATAAAGATGTTTCAAAAATTGGGAAAGAACACATATCTTGAATCCATTCTTTAACATCTGGAGCATGGATTTCTTTCCATTTACATAAAATAGCTTGCTTTGCTGAGCTCCAGGCTTGATAAAGCCACAGTTTTTTATAAAGTGTCAAGTTCCATATTTGGGGAGTATAATTCAATATCCTATTTTATTTAGTTATTTATTTATTAAATTTATATGCCGCCCATCTCCCCCAAAGACGGTGACTCTGGGCGGCTCACAATTAAAATCCAAAACAGTAAAAACAATAAAAATATAAATATCCATATTAAAATGAATGCCGCCCATCACCCCCAAAGACGGTGACTCTGGGCGGCTCACAATTAAAATCCAAAACAGTAAAAACAATAAAAATATAAATATCCATATTAAAATGAATGCCGCCCATCACCCCCAAAGACGGTGACTCTGGGCGGCTCACAATTAAAATCCAAAACAGTAAAAACAATAAAAATATAAATATCCATATTAAAATGAGCTGATAACAATTCTGTAAAATTAACTAATACTAAATTCTGTATTTACATCACATTGCAGACAGTGCATTGACTTGTGGAACATGGAACTATGAGATGTTATGACGGCCAGAGTTCAGGCAGTTTGAAAAGGGGATCAGTAATATCAACAGAGGTTAAGCCTTGCAGTGGTCATGACAGTTACTTAAAACCTCCATAGTATGGAGGCAATAAACTGCTTGATATCCATTGCTGGGAAGCGTGTTGAGAAAAGGCAATTAATTCTAGACCAATAGGTCCACCTTGTGGGCTTCTAAAAAGTATCTCATTCACCACTGCAGAATATTGGATGCTCCACCCCTTTGCAGAATGGCAATTTTGCCTGCCCCTAACCTGAACATCATCCACTACAACCTGGTTAATGCTGCTCCAGGTGGTTTCAGCTTGTTGCATCATAAGTGACCTGCGTAAATCATGTAGACTCCAATGCATGTCGTCTGGTTCTGATAATCAACCTAGTCTGGTCCAACAGTTTGAATGGATTGGGAAAATAAGTTTGAGTTGATTTGGATCCTTCAGTTGAACTGCTGAATTGGGTCGATTGGACTCAAATGTTTTAGTTGATTCAGAAAATGCTATATATGCACACATCTGATACTCCTGTTCATTATTTTGCACAATAATTTTTATCTCAGTCCAGCCCTTTCTTCCCAAACATTGTTTCTGCTGACTCATTTATTTCTTTGTGCCTCCCTTGCGTTCTGGAAGAAATATAGAGGTGGAGATGTGCTTTTGAGCATCAGGCTGCAAAGAGGAGAACTCTTTCAGCTACCATCCAGCTGTTTGGTAGAAAAATGTTAAGTGTGCAAGAAGACGACGTCATCAATCTTATCTTTGGCTTTTTTCTTTGCTGTTTAGGGTTTATGGGGCTTTGGAGAAAAGGGAGAAAAAGGTGTCCCAGGCTTACCAGGACCCCGGGTAAGAAGCTTCACAACATTTTGCTGTTTGGAATATGTCTGTAAGGACGATACCCTTCGGATTTAGCAAGCGCAGCTCCAGATTTCAAGGGTCTTAAGTCAGTGGCCGTTAATGGCCATCTCACGGCATCGGCTACAACCTGGCCATCTCACGGCATCGGCTACAACCTGGCCATCTCAAGTAATGTAGCTTCTTCTACTTGCTCATGGGCTAAGGCAGCCCCAGTTTAATGGACTATGAGTCAGATGTTAAGTTCTTCCATTGGATAAGCCTCTCTCTCTGCTGATATGTGAGCTAACTCAGAGTGACAGGAGCAATGTCCATGCTCAGTAAACCTCTCTGATTGAACTGGGAGCATCAGCAGCAAGAAAATGCCCATGTGTCAATTGGTATTTGAGAGGGCTGGCAAGTCATCACTCTTAGAAAGCACCCATATTGTCAACTTCTGAGGCTGGCCTGGGGTCTTACCTTTGCTTTTTAATCCTAGCAGTCAGCTGTGTTTTTAAGTAAATATGCTGGAAAAAAAAGGTGGGGAGATCATTCTTTGTCCAACAGATATGAAAGAAACTTCTGTTTAGTTTCTTTCAGTTTAATTTCTAAGTGGTTCTTGGAGGCATTTTGGAAAGATGATGCTAGAAGCTGGCATTTTCTTTTGCAGCTGCCCAATTCATTATTATGGTTGGTCACATAGGGACCCAGATGTTTAGACTAGATCTGGCATTTTTATCCACCTATTGAGTCCTTCCCAAGGACCTGGGATAGGCAGATGTTGATGGTGTTAAAAGTATCATTGCAGGATGTAAGCTGTTCCAAGTAAAACTGCCATTTGCCATTGACTAATGGCAATTTTGTCAATGCTGATGGTCTTCAAGTGGTGTTCCAGATGTTTTGCACAGTGTTGAGTAGCTATTCTATATCAGATAGTGTTTTTCCATACAGCTTCAGATCGTCCATATAAAGGAAGTGGGATAGCCTGGCAGATGTTTTTGATGTTTGATAGCCATACCTGACTTGTTCACTATTGTTGACAGAGGAATCAATGCAATGACAAGCAATAGCGGTGATAGTGAATCTCCTTGAAAGATTCCTCTCTTGATATAACCTCTTCCAGGCTATCACTATGGACCACCAACTGTGTCTTTCATTTTGCCATTGATCTTTGCACAAAGCTTCTGATGTTTCTACTGACTCCTGTTATTTCTAGGCCCTTGAATATCCAGTTATGTGGCAGGGAGTCCAATACCTTCTTGTAATCAATCCAAGCTACATTCAAGTTGGTCTTCCTTCTCTTGCAGTTTTCCAAAATCATCTTGTCAGTTAGGAGCTGATCATTTTTCCCTCTGCTGTTTGGGCAGTTTCCTTTCTGCTCAGAGGGAAAGAGCTTGCTTTCAACTAGATGCTGTTGGGCTGCGTCTAACTGGACCATGCCAATTAGCAATTTGAAAGTTGCTGACAAGCAGGGAATTGGCCTGTAGTTGCCTGGTGCTGCCCTTTTTGTTGGATCTTTCATTATCAGGAAGGTTTTGCCAGACATTAACCAATCTTCAATTTCAGTATGTTGTTAAACTGCTTGGCAATGGGTGGGTGCAGAGCAGTCAGATATTTCAAACAAAAACCATGCAGTTCATCTTCACCTGGTGCTGACCAATTCTTGATCTTCCTT